ATGAATACATATGATAAAATATCAAAAGAAGTAAAAATAGCTCAATTAATTAGGAGATGGTTTAATTTATGAATTACCAAAAACGAAAAAGCATTTAAATAAAAACATAGCTTAAAAATAATTCAATGGCAAAAGATGGTAAATACTTGAAAACTTCAAGGGTTCCTCAAAAAAGGCTCTTCAGTTTTAATAGTATTGATTGAGACAATATCCTCGCATAAAATTTTACATCTTCATAATCAAATGTCTTCGTACGTGGGGTCTATACATTTATTTTGTTCTACTGAGAAAAGAGTTTTCAATAAGAATCCAGATTCAAACTTTTTTATACAAAAAACATTATAGGATACAGAAAAAACGAGATGTACAAGTTTTAGCGTTTATAACATATGCATAGAGATACATTGATTCGACATAAATAACGCTTTGTCGTCAATTAAGTAAAGCAGTGTGTTAGGTGAAGTGCGGCCCCTCTCTAGTGCTGCTCCCACTAAGTTTTATCTTTACAATTGGAAATACTATTTAAGAATAGTCCCAATGTGGCATTCCATGCTTATTTAGTACTCATATAACCCAAGATCCGCCACCAGAGTTCACTCTCATCTCTCTTCAAAGAAATGGAGACACAACCTCTTAAGATCTTCTTTACCATTACCATCATCTTCCTCTACCTTCTAGCACACGTCACGTCCAAGGGATCATCGTCCCCATCTCTGTGCAATGGTTCGGTGGGAGAGTGCAGTAGCGTGGAGAAGACTGAAGAAATGACGGTGATTATGGAGTCATGGTCAAGCCAGAGATTGATGGAGGAGCAGACGCAGACGCTTTCATACAAAGCTTTGAGGAGGAATCAGCCTGCTTGCGACGGTGGGAACCGCGGTGAGTCTTACTCCAGCAAATGTCTTCCTCCGCCGTCTAATCCTTATAGTAGAGGCTGCTCTAAGCACTACCGTTGCAGGGATTCTTGACCATTCACCATCATTAGTATGATATGTTGTTTAATTGTATACTCATGTCCTTTTATTCCGATGTTTATTCATTTGAAATGTTTTGGTTTCAAGTGTAATTTATGAAATTGGGGTTTTTGTTAGGTAAAAGAAAGTGTTGGGTCAAAAACAATTTTCTGATTAAAGATTTGGCTATATTTATGTCGGAAAGTTGACTTTTTGACCTAGTCGATGCCAACTGCTACGCCTCTTTTCTCAAATTCAATTGGAGTGCCCAAAATAAAGTAAAATAATCCCAGTCACCCCCATCACATCAATCAGTTACCAACTAACTTAGTTTAGTATAGAACTCGACATAAAATCCGTAACTCTCGAAACCGGAACGAAACCTGAAAACCTGATCCATACCTAGTCTTGTATTGTAGGATGATACAGAACATATCTAAATCTAAAAGTGTTATTAATCAAACCTAAACATATAATCAAAATATCCAAAACTGGACATTATCCATATAATCGATATGAATATCCAAATTAATGTAAAATATAAATATTTAAAATGTAAAAATGAACTTCAAATACTCCTTAGCCCGTCTTGTGCTCTTCAATGTTGGTTTCGATTTCAAGCATCAATGAGCTTAATGGGAACTAGCTACTCCAGAGACATCATGGGAAATCCCGGTATCCGAAAAAATGAGAAGAAATCTCATATTTCTGTGGTTCGCGTCAAAGGTAGAAAGTTACCAATTCCCAAAGAATTAAGCTCCTAGTTAGCGGAACGTGCCGGGGTGTTGGGTTGAACAAAACTAGCTAGGAAAATTTGGATTTGGATTATTTTATGCAAATCATGTTTATAATATGAACTTGGGATGGTGAGTTGAACAAAACTAGCTAGGAAAATTTGGATTTGGATTATTTTGTGCAAATCATGTTTATAATATGAACTTATGTCCAGTCTCAGGTTGATTTAATAAAATTCATTGAAAAGAAAGTATATTTGTATGTGGATTCTTGAATTTTGAATATATCCAAACCAATCAATGATGGATTCTTGAATGTGATATGAAACAGTCCCCACACCAAATTTATTAGTATGTGACTTAGAACATGTTACAAAAACTGAAATCCGAAAAACCCGAGCAGAACCAAACGCCCATGCCTAGTTTGGTACTTAGGTCCGGAGGGAATCAAGGGCAGAATAAATAAGCGTTTTGTTTAGTCAGAGACCGCATCAAAGTACGAATTAAGCGATGCCAAGTTGATGATTAAGTCAACATAATCTGTAAGTTTAACATAGAGGACATTTTGAGTTTTCTAGTTTTTGATGAGCACCAACAAACCCCACTAGACTTGATGAAACGTTGGACCAGAGAGGGATGTTGAATCCCGGATGAACTATGACTTGTACGAAAGCTTCCATACCTCCCTGACATTGGAGGAGCCATCTTTGACTTCGGACACCAAGGTTGACGCAAGAACGCCTGCAATTACATCGGTGCACTCTTAGTAAACGGGTATATTACCATTGTAGTGGATCAACAAACACAATCCATTCTGCTTTATATAGAATATTAGGTTCTTACCGTCTTTCTCTATCATAGACAGGAACTGCCTTGTCCCTCCACCAACCCCAAAATAGTACTTCTTTGCAGCCATGTACACTGCTCCATCAGGATAGGCCAAGCACTGCAAAGAGAATCAAGTATTAAACCTTCATCGAATCTGCTATTAAGGAGAAAACGAGGAGTGTACCCTTTTAACCAGTTCATAGAGACTTTTCTGAGCGGAGATGGAATAAATTGTCTCAGCCATTAGAATGACATCATAACCACCCTTCTTATCAGTCTCACCAACATTAACTAGTGGAAGAAGCTGATGAACTTCACTCCACTCCCCAGCAAAGAAGCGTACTTCTGTATCACCAACTGAGTCAGATGGAGACTTCTCGGACATATTAGCATTCAGATTCGGGATGGTGAGACATCGGAGGACCTCAGCATTGAAATCCTGCAAATGAACTGCATCTGCACCCTGGTCACCAAAGAGAACAAAGAATTTTAAAAAGATCTAAAAACATGGTTTTAACCACAGAGCATCATAACAAAGCTCAGAAGCATCAGCTCACCTTGAGATACGCGTAGATTCCTGGAAGTGCATGACCACATCCAAGCTGAAACAATAGGAGACTTAAGTGTGAATTAGAATAAACATGAACATATGATACAGCCTATTCATAGTTGAGTTATATATCTTTATCTTCAAAAACAGGATCAATAAGCAATTAGGTTACCTCGAGGACGCGTTTACCGGAGAATGAAATGTTGCCAGTTTGTGATTCTTTCTCAAGAGCTTTGACAAGATCTATAGATCCTTCCCAAAGCTTAAGCCCACCTATATATATCAACAAGGATCAGTTATACACCAAGAAGCATATAATAAACAAGGAAGGATGGGTTTATTACCTTCATATACACCAGGAACCAAATCAGAATTAGGCAATCCAAAGACCTCTTTAGTGTTAACACGACCCTAAGAAGTAAGAACCAAACCAGAAACTGAACAAACTCACTTCAATGGTTTAACATTTAACTGAACAAAAAAGAGCCCACCTTCAAAAGAGTGACGTCGCCGATATTCACTTTATCCACTGTGAAAGCAACGGAGGAAGACGATACCTCGGAGGATAATACTTCAACAGGAGGAGGCGGTGGAGGACGAGGTGGTTCTGGTGAATCGAAGAACCCTAAACCTTGGGATGAAGACTTATCGTTAGAAGAAGAGAAAAGCTGAAACGTCGGATTCGTCGCCATCGATGAAAGCTTCGGCAGCAGCTCTTGTCCACGAGCACACGGGGGAACAAATAGAAACCCATCGAACCGTCGGTATAACGCTTGATCAAACGGTTCATTTCATTAAACCAATCAATTATCTATCAATCTGCTTACCCAGACTGTGACATCCCAAATATTATTTGCCAAATAAATTGTTTACTAGGTGTTTTGCCCGCACATGCGTGCATGATTATCTTAGAAAACTATTTTTAATGTATAAAACTTAATTTTTAATTTATTAATATTTAATTATATATTTTCCATTTTCTATTTTTTATGATTGAAAATATAATTACGATAATAACACAACATATTATTTAGAAATTATCTTTTAACTATAGTTGTTATGTATATAAATATTGTGTTAATTTTAATTATATAAGTATATTATATAAAATTATTCATCAAGCGGATTACAATTTCAGAAAAACGGAATGCAATGAACTTACATTTTCTTGTTAAGCACTATAAAATATACTTATATAAATATAAAAAACCTTATGTTTTAATTGCAAACACGAGAAAATAAACCTCTTGATAAAACTACGTTTCCCAACATTTAGTTAGTTTAAATTGTAGCAAAATTTAAACGTCGGTTTATTAGAAGATATAAAATTTAGAAAAAATAATAGTTCAGTAACATTAATTTTCATGTAAAAATAGTTTAATTTTTTATTAAAAGTATAAATAACATCAACCGGTCTAACTTTTAATATGAGAGCTAAAAAATTAATTCAAAATTAGCATAATATGTTATTACTTACGATTTCAAAAAAAATTAACCAAAAATCAAATTAATTATAAATTACAACGCTCACATATCAAAAATATTTTTAAGAATATAATCAATTAAATGTTTTTGTTTGATTCTATTTAGTTATAAATTTTTAAATTTTAAATTTTTTAATAGAAAATACAGTTTCAAGATAACAACATAATACATAAGAATTATTTTTTTTTTCTAAAAGTAAAATATTATTAATAGAAATTTGTTTTAGTTATATAATAAATCATATATAAAATTATTAAAACATTACAACGCTCACATATCAAGAATATTTTAAAAATATAATCACATAAATGTTTTTTTATTTCTATTTAATTATAATTATAATTTTTTCTTTTTTAATTTTTAGAATAGAAAATATACACTACAAGAAAACTAAGCCTTTACTAGGAAATTTTACTAGGAAAAACCTTCCTCGTAAAATTACTAAGGCCTTACTTCGAGTTTACGAGGAAAGCAAATTTCCTCGTAAGATCCTCGAAAACTTACGAGAAAATATTTTCCTCGTAAGACTTAGTAATTTCACGAGGATCTTACGAGGAAAAAGTACTTTTCCTCGTAAAGCCGTAGTAGAGACTTTCCTCGTAAAGGCATAGTAAAATATTACTACGAAATTAGGAGGAAACTGTTTATTACTACGAATTTAGGAGGAACTGGATAGGAAATATAGAATTTAAATAAAAAATGTGTTTTGTACCTACTTTTCCTAGCAATTTCCTAGTAAATGCTCAGATTCGAAAATTTCTATAAATACCACCTTATGTGATTCATTTGAAACACACCAAAAAAAAAGCAGCTATAAGCTTGATCAAACACAAAAAAATGTCCGGTCCGGAAAATATTTTCGAGTTGCGGCAGTGGATGTATTCACACAGAGATAATAACGGGAGGGTGACGAACGAATTTCTGGAAGGGTTGGAGACGTTTATGCATCAAGCAGATTCTACACCACTCACGCAGGAAAGTGGTAAGATGTTCTGTCCTTGTCGGAA